TTTTATTTTTATTTTACGGCAGATTTTTTTTCTTTTTTAATGACAGAGTTTGGAATTTTATCACAGACCAAAAAATGTAAGTTAAACAACTTAGCTGAAGAAACATTTGTTGCGATGAGATGTTAAATAAAATACAATACAGTATCTGCATTTTGGTTCTGCCTTTTTCCAAGTAGGGGTTTCTGCMGTACATGTTGTCCTGTGGGCGGAGACGGCCCAAATCGTGATTGGCGGAGGTCTTAATGTGGGCAGAGACTACCCTACTCGTGATTGGCGGAGGTGTTGATGTGGGCGGAGACGGCCCAAGAGACGTGATTGGTCAGATTGATGTTGGGGTTTGAAGAAGCTGAAGGCAGCGGGGAGTAGCTTGRTTGAATCGGGCCTCCGTCCACAGGACAACATGTATTGCAGAGAACCCCTCCTCCCTTTTTCCCATTAAATTTAACAGTGTATTTAGATCAATTTTAGTCTCAAATTCAAAATGTAAAATTTGTATTTGCCCCTTGCTGGTAACAATAATATTATGTAGTGACTTATCTCTTTTAAGCAGATTATCTTAGTTAGGAATGGACAGTCAGTGATTAAAGACTCCCACTTTTTTATAATAAAGTAAAAGTTCAATAAATAAATAAATAAATAAACCATGGGTTACTAGCCTGGTGGCCTGACTGCTCCGGGGTGGGTTTAGGGTGGACTTGGGGGGCTTGGGACTCTGGGGGCATGTTGCCCCTTGGCTGGAGAAAAAAAACAATAAAATAAAAAATTAAAATATTTAAAGGTGTCAAACTGCAATTAACAGTTTTTGGGAAATGTTACTGTAAATATAATTAATGTTGCAGCATGTATGCTTTATTGTATGTTAGAAATTAATCTTACTTCCTTTTTTGCATAAACCTTTATGGCTTATCAAAGTGACAGTACAGATCTATTGAAGTGAGGTTCTGTAGAATGGTAATGAGCAGCTGAAATCTTGATAGCTTTTAAATTACCTCAGTTAGAAAAAAATGCGGCTTAGTTCTAATTGGAATCAAGAGCTAAATTTAATATGAGTTAAGTCAGGACCACAGCAGATGCCTGCCATTTAAAAATGACACAAAGCTCACACATTTCATTGAGTTTCACAAATGATATGAAGAAAATAGTTTCATTCCCCAACTTTTTTTGTGCTAATGCAAATAGCAGCAGTGGATATCTGTAGCCTCTCTAGTGGAGTCATGGGCATTTCCTTTTTGTAAAGTATGGTACTTTACAAATTTGCCAGATTTGGGTTGGTCATCTGCAGCTGTCTTGTATGTAATCTAAGGCTCTGCTAAAACCAAGTTCTGTTTATATGGGCTTGTTGAAGGTGGAACCAACTGGACCTGGCCATCGTGCTCCTGTCATTGATGGGCATCACTCTAGAGGAGATTGAGATCAGTGCCGCCCTGCCCATCAACCCCACTATCATCAGGATCATGAGGGTGCTGAGAATAGCCCGAGGTACCGAGGCCACACACGCTTTGAAACCCCTTTTCACACCACATTTCCTGTAAACAGAATATTGATCTGATTGTGTTACTGTGTTAAAATCTAGATGGTTTTGGCGAGTCAGTTGGCTGAATAGCCCAAAGTGTTATCTTAATCTAACTTCTCCAGCCTGCTGTTTGTAGAAACATGATGAGTTTTCCCATAAAATGCCTCTAATCTCGTTCTCGTTGGTCTGACATGCAAACTAAGTGCTGAAGCTGCTGAAGATGGCAACGGGAATGAGAGCCTTGTTGGATACGGTGGTTCAAGCCCTGCCTCAGGTACGACTCTTTCACCACCTCATGCTCTTCTCGCACACATCCCGTTCCCCGAGAGGGAGTCGGTTATCAGTCTCAGTCAACAGTCTAGGAATGTTTGCCCCACTTCTCTCTTTTTCTCAGCCTTTAGGCGACACTAATAGAAACCCATATGCACATGCATTGCCTCATACGCAGACATACAATTAGTCTTGTTTTCACTTTCAGCACCCAGACTCCCACTGAGACCATAGTGTGTGAGAAGTGGTTCCTAAGCCAGGCAGTAGGTCATTTAGMGGTGAACTGTCCTCAGAGTCTGTGTTTCTGGGCCGTTCCCTTCTATTCCAGTGCAGTTAAAGTTCAGCTGCATTACTAAAAAAGACTAGTTTGAGATCACTTTGCATGAAAAATATTAAGAGCACTTTTGTATTTGACTGAAAAAAAAAACACTTTAGATGTGAAATCTCTTGTAATCTTCCGCAGTGGGCGCTGTGAAGTAAAGCAAACTAACTGACAAAGAGGCCGAAAAATCACAGGGATTATCTGTCACTTTACTGGCTGGGATTTCTGACAGAGTCGTTTCACAGCAATCCAAGATTAGGAGTTTCAGCAGTGTGCCAAAGGAGCTTGTATGGGCAACAGACCTGAACGGGAGAGTGGGACGTTTGTGTTTTATTTTTGTTTTGTTTCTAAAAGACATTTTTTGTAAAAGCAATGTTTTAAAAGAAATAATTTAAAATTTTAATGTAAAAGGCTTATTCTTCTTAAACCCAGAAATTTCCTTATGAAACAATTTTAAAAAAACTCTTCTCAGCAAATTAGAATAATTAAAAGTGTTTTGTTTGTATTTCTGTTCTTCACAAAATCCAACATTCTTCTTTTAAGATTTTTAAAATACTTAAATGATCAGTCTGGATTATTCTAACATTTATATCCAGTAAGATGAATTACACTGATAAACCTGATAGTTGTCAGATTACTTGGATTTGCTTCATTCACATGACTGAACTATTCTGGACAGTTTTCTTCTCCATTTGGTGTAAAAAAAAAAAAGGAAATGACTGAAATATCCATGCCTTCACAAGCTGCTGGTCGTGTTGACACAAAAATCAAAAATATAAGGAAGGACAACTAAATATTCTCCCAAAATCATTGGGCCTCATGCAAGAATATGTTCGTATTCWTATCCTAAATTTCTCTTACTTTTGTTCGTACAAAGGGTTTGTACGAACATGTCACGTCAGATTCAACAAACTCTTCTATCTTCAGGAAAAGTGTGTAAATGAGCT